GCTATCAGACCTTCACTAAGAGAAATGCTAAAGGATGAATCTTGACTCCTACTGCATACTATATAAAAATTATTTCCATATGAATCATAGATCTAAATATGAAAGGCAATACAATAAAGCATTTAAAAGAAAACATGAATGTTTCTTCTTTACTTTGGAGTAGGAAAGGTTTTTAAAACTGGACACCAAAACCACTAGCCATAAAAGAAAGAAAACCGATCAACTGGACTTTATTAAAACTAAGAACTTTTGCTTATTAACAGATAACATTAAGAGAACGAAGAACAGTCCCCTGCCTGGGAGAAGATATTTGCAATATATAAATCTGACAAAAGACTCATATCCAGAATATATAAGTAACTCCTACACATCAATTAAAAAAAAAAAGCCAATTAAAGAAAAAGGGCCAAAAAATGGAATAGGCATTTCACAAACAAGATATCCAAATGGCCAACAAGCATATGAAAAGATACTCAACATCATTTCCCTGATGATAAACTACACTAAACTCAAAAGGAGATAACTGTACACATCCAACAGAAATGAAAGAGTCTGAATTAAAAACACTGAAAATACTGTGCTGGAGAGGATGTGAAGCAACTGGGTCTCTCATATGTGGCTGGCAGGGGGTCAGTTATTTGGAAGGACTGAGAAAAATTTGCCAACACCTGGCAAGACTATTCAAGAAAAAAGAAAAGCACAAATAAACAGTATCAGGAACGAGAAAGAAGCTATCACTATAGATCGCATACATATTACACAGATAACAAGAGGAAATGGCAAACAACTTTGTACATTTCATCTAAAATTTCAAACTTATCAGGATAAATCCCTAGAAAACAGCACCTTACCTAAAAGAACTCAATCGAAACTGACTCTAGAAGAAACAGAAAATCTGAACAGTTCCACAATCATTAAATAAATTGAACCAGTGATCAGCGATCTTACTATATAGAAAAGTTCAGGCCCAGGTGGCTTTCAGGAAGTTTTGACAAATATTCAAGGAAGAAATAATTACAGTCTTACAAAACTTTTCTAGAAACAGAGTACAAAGGAACACCTGTAAATTATTTTATAAGCTAGTAAAACCTTAACAGAAAAGCCAAAGGGTGAGAAAGGAAGTATATACACAGGCAATCTTACTCATGAACACAGATGAAGAACACCTGAAAAAAGTACATATATAACATACACACAAATATATACAAATATGTAAATAAATATGTTTGTGTATGCATGCAAACCGAATCCAGCAATGTATAAGGATAATATAACACATCATGACAGATTGGCACTGACCCCAGGAATGCAAGGGTACTTCAGACAATTAACCTAATTCATGAATTTAACATATTAAAGATGGGAAAAAATCATATAATTATCTCAAAAGATATAGTAAAAATATTTGATAAATGCTCTCAAGCATGATAAAAACTTGCCAAGTGATAATAGAAGGTAACTTTATTAACTTAATAAAGGGTATTTATACCATACTTACTGATGAAACACTGAGAATGTCTCCTTTGAAATAAGAAATATGGGCAGGAAGTCCTCTACTATCACTCCAGTCAACACTGCACAACAAATCCTAACAAGCACAGTAAGACAAGAAAAATAAAGATATAAAAATTGATAAGAAACAAAACAACTACTACTCATAGATAACAGAAAAATGCGAAAGAAACTAGAAATACATTATTAGAATTGTGCTCAGCAAGGCTACTGAACACAAAAACTAGCACACAAAAATCAGTCTGATTTCTAAATACCAGCAAGAGATAATAAAAATAAATAAAAGATAGTTACAATGGCATAAAAAATGCAAACTACCTAGGAAAAAAAAATCTAAAAAAATAATACACGAAAATCCACTGTGTGAAAAAGTGTAAAATTTAACTGAAAGACAATAAAGACCAAAATAGATAATGTCATGTTCAAGGATCAGAGGGCTCTGTATGATAAAGATGTACATTTTCCCCAAAGTGACCTTACAGATTCAATGAGATTCTAATAAAAATTCACAAGTTTTCATTAAACTTAACAAGCTTATTCTAAAACTTGTATGAAAGTACAAAGGCTGCAAACAGCCATGACAATCTTCAAGAACAAGGTGAGCGGATTCTCAGAAATTATCAACTCCTATAATGTTACAGTAATATTAGACTGTGATGTGATGACGTGGTGAGAGACAGCCTAATCTGCTGAACAGATGAGAGGTCAGGAGCAGACCTGTGTGTGTATGACATGTGATGGATGAGAGTGGTTTTGCAGATCTGTGGGTAAAATATGGACTTCATAGTAAGGCAACGCTGGAAAAAAGTGAAATGCAATCCTTACGTCACATAATACACAAAACCTCTTCCACTTTTATGACTGGGAAAAAGCAAAGCTACGTATGAGGTATTCAGAAGATAATACAGAACAATAGCTTTAAGATACCCTTCCTATAATGAGGTCATAAATCAGTAATAAAAAGAAAACATAAAGGAAAAAGATTAATTGAACACATTAAAGTTAATTTTTATTCATCAAAAATACCATCAACAATGGTAAAAGACAAGCCACATCCTGGGAGAAGTTACTTGTAAACACTTAACCAACAAGAATTGGTACCCAGAATATGTGAAGAATTCCTATGAACTTATAATAATGGGCAAAAAGACTGGAAATGAAAATTATAATTACAATTCATGCCTAAAGCCCACTAGATTAGCAAGAATTAATAAGCCTGACAACATTAAGTATTGCCAAAGATGCAAAGTGAATGTCTTACAGTGCTGGAGGTGGTCCACTTCGGAAAGTAAGCTGAACGTACACACAACCGATGACTTAGCATCATTACTCCTAGAGAAATTCTCGCACACTCCTAAGAGACACGCACAGCAGTATTCATGACAACACTGCCTGTGATAGCGAAAGCAAATAAGTAAACAAACAAAAAAAAAACGATGAATGACCCAAATATCTATCAACAGAATAATACTACAGTATTTTCATTCAGTGAAATACTAGTCAGTAATGAAAATGAATTAATTTTGAGATTAACATGAGTGAACCTCGAAAACAAAATACTGAAAGTTAGAGTATAATGAAATAATATGCATACAAATTCAAAAGAGGCAAAAGAGTCATTGGGTAGAGATACATACATAGTTGGGAAAACTGTGAAGAAAAATGAGTGAAAAACTATCACAAAAATCAGGATAGTGACTATTATGGAGAGAGTGAGGGTATGTGATCAAGAAAGGGCACACAGAGGTCTTTCACTGGTAATGTTTTATATCCTAATCTGAATAGCTGGTGCACTAGCGTTGGCTTTATTATTCTTTAAAGTACACATTTACATGTCATACACTTTTCTGTATTTATGATATTTTACAACAGAAAGAAATTAACTTATCACATTTTCATTTAACTTTCGGTAATAAAATACTTTATTGGTACCTTTTACTGTCAAAAACAGAGTAATGTTTCCATTGCTTAGCTTCCATCTTTAAATGAAAAGCTTTTTTTTTTTAAAAAAAGGAAAAAAATCATTTGATTCTGTCAAAAAACCAGCTACAACTCGCTTTTGCAAATAATTAGGTTCTCTCACTTTAAATACCTTAATTCACTGGTCTTCACAATAAATAACTGTATATAAAAGGAGACAATGGCCTGAACAATTTTGCAGAGAACATTTTACACATCTTAAAAAACTAAGCCTAAATGTTACCCCAACTAAAAACTTGTAAGAATATTTAGTAAGAGTTATTATAAAATTGCATTCATGTAGCACCAAGAAATTTGGGATTTATAATATTTCAGATGATATGATTTACTGAGAAAAAAGAGTAATGATTTGTCTTCTATGAATTTTCAGGGGTTTCTATACAAATAGAAACAATTCAATATAGGTCCCTTTTAAAAGCCAAAGGTTCAAAAATCTATGCGTGCCTTTCACCATATCTCCAATTTATGGATCTAGCAATTGACCATATGGTAAAAGATCCATGTGTGATAAATAAAACAGTAAGTCATATCTGAATATAATTTCTTACTCATCTTGTCTCCTTAATATAATTTACACCTCAATTAAAACATCATTCTATCTGCAAGTTATATATTTCTCTAAAATATTCTGTAATTCAGATTTCCATTTAGACAACCTTCCCCTCCTCCCCTTTTCTCGAATCAGTATGATCTTATGGTATACCTCATTAAATTGTTTGGTTTTTCTTCCTTCAGTGAAACTCCTCCTCAACTCAAAGTATTATAATAACACAGATGTAGCTTAATTAACATATTAGAAAAAAAGGATAATACATACATATGGATCCATGCTAAATAAGACAATACAAAGCCAAAAACACAAGACACCATGCTATGTTCATCTATTCTGAACCACCACAAGAAGGCCCTGATAGGGCCCTGGCTCATGTAAACTGATGTCCCAGACACCCCTAGTGTCCTATACTCCAGCATAATTAACTGTTCTGTTAAAGACGTTTCCATGTTTATTTGTTTGTTCAAAACAGTCTACAGCAACTTTGACTCCTAATCCTGAACATGATGCTAAATTAGTAACACATTATATTTTCAATCAAGCCACAGATTATAACCTTAGTATTTTCTACTATTACCCATTTGTTTAAAAACAGACACTGAGGGGGCTAGGCAACAACACAAAGTTGAGGGAATTTGTCTCTGCCTTCTCTTGATTAGTTGGGGATTTTAGATGTGTCATTTAATTATTCTCTGCTTCAGTGAAAAAGGATCCTTTAAGCAACTGCCCAAAGATCTTAATTTAAAACCAAGTAGGTTGACTCAGTGGTCAGTAGGTGAAGAGCCCTTATCCACACACTCCATCCATAACACTCCATCCTCTCTTTGGGAACAGGATGCTCCCGACCCACCTTCAGCACAACACATTCCATCCCTCAGCCCAGACGCAACCAGGATACACATCAGAACATGAAGCCGGGTAAAAGTAACTCAAAGCTACTCTTAGAACAAATACCAGATTTTGATTTGTCAATGATTTCATAGTGAAGTATACTCATAAAACAGAGACTCTGCATTGCAAAACTTGCTTTTTCTTCTCACACTAAGTTAAATTGCTAAAGTAATATCAGCAAGAACACAAAAGATAAGCATGTCTTCTCTGAAAGAGGCACTGCATCTGGAATTGGAATTAAGGCTAATTGGTTTGTGGTTCAGACTAACGTGTCACTGATTACATTAACCAACAGATTCGCTATTTGTCCTGTATGCCTGCTTGTGAAGATGCGTCTCTATCTCCTCCCTGAAGACCAGCATTCCCAGGTGCGAGTGAGAGGCCTCGTTCATGGCTTTGGACTGGATGCACATGCGGTACTGTTCGGGGGTCAACTCATCAGCACAGCGTTTCTCGTGCCAGAGGTGGAAAAGACCAGGAACTGGAGTCCGAATCACAATCAGGTCACCATGTAAGTATTTTCGATAAAGATGAACATCTTCTCCACCCCAACCTTTTACTTCCATATCAAATCCACCTGCAGGATCAAAACTCACACTGTTAAATAACTGCCTGGCAGCCAGAGCACAGTCAAACCTGATAAAGATTTAAACATTCTGCTTCAAATGAGATGGCATGGTATAATCCAAAGACACCTGAAGTAGAGGACTGACATCCTGGTTTAGAAATCCAGTTACCAGCTGACCTCTAGAAGCTCACAATCTGTTGTTGAGAGTATCAAAATGAGATTAAACACTTGAGGATACTTTGTAAACTTCAGAGTTCTATAGAAAACCTCTAGAAAGTCAAATAAAGGAGAAGGAAATATAAATCATTCACAATATCACCACCATTAATGTTTTTTTTTTTGCGGTACGCGGGCCTCTCACTGTTGTGGCCTCTCCCGTTGCGGAGCACAGGCTCCGGACTCACAGGCTCAGCGGCCACGGCTCACGGGCCCAGCCGCTCCGAGGCACGTGGGATCCTCCCGGACCGGGGCACGGACCCGCGTCCCCCGCATCGGCAGGCGGACTCTCAACAACTGCGCCACCAGGGAAGCCCCATTACTGTTTTATTATGTTTTCTTTCTATCCTTTGAGATCCAAGTTCTTCTGGGTCACAGAAAACTTTCCAGAGGGGAAAACAGAAGAAATGACCAAGGTGGACACATAGTGTTGAGAATGGGCACACAGATGATTTAAAGCCATGGAAGTGAGTGAAATTACTAGAGTTTACAGGGAAAACAGGGCCCAGGTCTAAATGCTAAGAAATGTCAATATCTAGAGGGTAAACAGGCAGAGAAAGACAAGTCAGCAAAAGAGACTCAGAGGCAGCCCCAGAAGAAGGAGAAAATTCTGGAGAATGTGCTATCACAGTAGTGAAGTGAGGAAAGCATCTTGAGAAAGAAATGGTCAAGTGTGTGCTGCTCAACTAAGAACTTAAAGAGAATCAAGTAGACCTGGCAATGTAAATGTCACTTAGAGCCTTACTTAGATCAAGGGAGATAGAGTTCACACTATTTTCAAACTGGTTTAAGCTGAACTAACTTCAAAGAAGCATGGAGAATACAAACTATTTTGAGTTTTTTGAAAAGCTAGAAAAGATTCTTAAAAATGGAGAAAAAATTAATTCTTTAATTAAAAGCTAGGTTTCCAAATTATGTCTTTTGTCAAATAATTCTGTCACTTAATTTCACTCTCATAGCATGACAATAATCCTGAGATCTCTGAAAAATATTACTTTAAATAGTCACAGCTTTACTAAATGCTATGTCTGATTATATCTTGGCTTTTCTTCCTTGTAGATACGAATAAGCTCCTCAAATATTAGAGATGGTATAAAAATAAACAGACTTCCGGTTTCTGGTCCAGCACGTACAGACCTTAGAAGTCATCACTCCATCCTGACAACAAGTAAAAAGTTGAACGAACTGAAAACTCAACAACTCTTTTCAGATCCCTCGGAGAAATAAAGTCACAGGGCAAACTGTGAAGAGACAGATAGGTGGGTAAGACAGAATCACAACTATTAGGGAAGAAATAGACTAGTAGAAATCTCCAGGGGAACGAGTACTGGGGTAGGAAAATCTGAACTGTAATTGATGAATTGCTAGAGGCTCAGTGGAAAAGTCTAAGAGGTGAAAATTCCAGAGAGGCCTGCACACTTTTGTGAGTTTTACCTCTAGGTCTACCAGGTTCTCACAGTGAAGACTGGAGAAAAATCCCCTAGCGCTTTCAGAAGGAGGGGGAAAGTAACCATTCTGAAATATGTCAGGGCATTTTGTTCTTCTTAATAAGGCCTGTGCTCAGGAAAAACTATTTTACCAGAGTCTAACCTATCTGGGGGAAGGGATATACGCAACTCCAGCCCACTCTAGCCATCCTGTCCCACCTAAGATTGGGGGCTGTGTCTGTGAAACGATTGTGAAGTTCATGGTCCAGGCTCACAGGCCCACTTAAAGATGGACTGAGACCTTATCACAGGACTACAGAATTCTTCCTCTTCTCCCACACCTTACCATCACTAAAGGCCTATTTACTGCAGTGTCCTTTACCCAGTACATCATGTTCAGCTATGAGGAAAAAAATTAGGCAAACTAAAAGTCAAAAAACAGTTTGAAGTGAGACAGGTTGGGACCTGGGACCCTTTGCTGCAGTGCTGCAGTGCTTACACCTGGACACACCTCGCCTTGAAGCAGCAAAATACAAAGAAACCGTATGGGACGAAAAATAACTGCATGAATGCGCAGTTGGGGCAAATTATGGATAGAAAGATACAAAAGATCGAAAAACCCAACTGCTACTTCTAAAGAGCCTGGAGCAAAAACTGGGTGTCAGGAGCAAAAGCAGGGAACTGAGCACACCCCCTGCACTCAACCCCACCAAGGGGTGGGCAGACCATCTAAGCCACCCCTCTGGCCCGACCCCTGGACACACGCCTACCCCCACCACGTATAAGGAACAAGCTCGCCCTGCCTCAGCGAGTGAGCAAGCAAGGGAACCTGTCCTTTGTTCTCAGTCCCCGGCTGCTGCAGCAGGGGCCCCAATAAAGCCTTGTATGAATTTCTTGTCTGGCCTCTAGTCAATTTCTATTGATTGGGGAAGGCTAAGAATCCTGGTCAGTATCAGAAGAGAAAGAGCAAACATTAGAACCAGACTCAGATATGGCAGGGATGTTGGAACTAAAGGACTGTGAATTTAAAATGACTATAATTAATATGCTAAGTGCTCTAATGGAAAAAGCAGACAACATGCAAGAACAGGTGGTTAATGTAAGCAGAGAGATAGAGATACTAAGAAAGAATCACAAAGAAATGCTAAAGATAAAAAGCAATGTAACAGAAATGAAGAATACCTTTGAGGGGCTCACTACTAGACTGGACTTGGCTGAGGAAAGAATCTCTGAACTTGAGAACAGGTGAATAGAGACTTCTAAGACCAAAAAGCAAAGAGAAAGACTGGGGGTGGGGGGTGGGGAGGGGAAGAAAAGAAAAAACAGAACAGAATATCCAAGAACTATGGGACAACTACAAAAGGTGTAACATATGTATAATGGGAATACCAGAAGGACAGGAAAGAGGGACAAGAACAGAAGCTCCAAATGAAAGAGGCTAAACTGCAAACAAGTGCTGCTGAGAGGGCAGGGGCTCCCTTTCTCACCCAGCCCACATTCATAGGGTAGAGGCTCTCCAAGAGGGAGTAGGCCCTTCTGCTCCCACCCAATGTCCTGCTCATAAAGCAGGGGTGACCCTCTGAGAGAAGTGTGCCACTATCTCCACCCCCAGGTCTGGAGCAGAGGCTCAGAGCTTTTTGTCAGGGGAAGCAGCAGTCCATAAGAACAAATGCTCCAGAGCTTTTCCCAAAGGAACTGACTTTATTTAAAAGAGAATGTGCAGAAATTCAGGCCTAAGGGGGCTCTTGAAAATACTGGAGATTCAGTGGTAAACAATTAAAAGAGGAGGCTGGTAGCCCCATTAGAACAAGCTAAAATATAGGCCAGCCAGTTTACCAGAACGAGGCAGGCAAAGAGACAGCTAAGGCAGGGAGACATCAGGGCATGTGCACAGCCCTCCTGGGGTCCAGGCAAACCTCAAAAACTACCCTGCAAAAGGGTTCGATTTAATTGGTTCAGACTATGGAGCAATTTATGTCCCAGAGCACTGTCAAATCAGCGAGCAAATTAGTGCAGCCTAATAGATAGGAGTGACATCAACAGGCATGGAAAGAGACAGTCAAAGAGAGCCCCGCTAAATCCAACGTCATCCCAGGATGGCTGTGCAACATGCCCTGATGAGTGACATGAGAAGCTTCATATTGTTGGGAGGCAGAGGGTAGGGAGACAGAATTCACTAAAATAGTAAAGCCAAGTCAATTAATAAATGAATAAGCAAAGTCAAAACAAAATACAAGCCCTGGAGGCAGGGGGAGTCAATATCTAGAATCAACACAAAATATTATCTAAAATGTCCAGTTTTAAAAAAAGTATTGAAAGAATACTGAAAAGTGTGACCCATATACCAAAAGAAAAGCAGGCAACAGAAACTGCCTGTGAGAGCGCCCAGATGTCAGTTTTAGCAGATTTCAAAACAACCATTAAATATGTTAGAAAAATTAAAAGAAATCATGCTTAAAGAAGTAACAAAGTAAGATGACAATGTCTCATTAAGAAGAGAATATTAATAAAGAGGTAGCAATGAGATTCTGGAGTTAAAAAGCACAATAACTCAAATGAAAAATTCACTAGAGCAGCTCAACAGTAGATCTGAACTAACAAAAGAAGAATCAGTGAACCTGAAGATAGATCAATTGAGATTATGCAATACAAATAGGAAAACAATGAAGAAAAATGAACAGTCTCAGAGAAATGTGGGACACCATTAACTGCTCCAACATGTATCTAATAGAAATACAAGGAAAAAACAATGAGAAAGGAGCAGTGAGAAATAACAGAGGTCAGAAGGTAGTGATGTATCCTTACTATTTTATTAAGCAAGAAATCAGGGAAAAAGGCATTAGTTTCACGTAATAGTCTTTTTTATTACTACTTGCTGATTTTCCATCATTTGTTACAGAGATAAAAAGACAAGGTGGAGGACTTCCCTGCTGGCACAGTGGTTAAGAATCTGCCTGCCAATGCAGGGGACATGGGTTCGAGCCCTGATCAAGATCCCACATGCCGCGGAGCAACTAAGTCCGTGTGCCGCAACTACTGAGCCCGTGTGCTGCAACTACTGAAGCCTGTGCATCTAGAGCCTGTGCTCTGCAACAAGAGAATCCACCACAATGAGAAGCCTGTGCACCGCAACGAAGAGTAGCCCCTCCTCGCTGCAACTAGAGAAAGCCCACGCACAGCAACGAGGACCCAACGTGGCCAAAAATAAATAAATAAAATTTTTAAAAAATTTGACTATCCCTAAATAACCATGTGTTACCACTCAGATGAGCCAAAAAAAAAAAAAAAAAAAAAGGACAAGGTGTAGGAATTTCCAAAACAAATGGCTGATTATAAAAATGAAGATAAGATGGACCTAAAAAATACATAAAATATATTCTATTAAAAAATATATATACCATGTATTCTAACACGCTGTGGAAAGGTAGCCCCTGAATGAATCAGGAGACATGGAATGAATGAATCAGGTTTCAGCCTGCTTCCTTAAACTAGGCTCTGATACTTTAATTTTTGCTGGGTGAGACTAAAGGTTCAGTGGGGCAGGTAGCTTAGACGAGATTCTTCATGGTTAGCTTTGGTTTAGGGGAGTGGATAACTAAGCCAGTGATTCCAAGTTCCCCACTCCAACTTCAACGAGAGCTAGAAAGAGTAGGCGTTTTCCCATTTGTTTTAAATACTGGGATTTTGCATTATGTTCAAGAAATCGGTGGTTTCCTCTCCAAGTAAAAAATATGAAAGCCCTTGGACTAGATAGCCCAACATTATTTCTAGCTGTAACAATTCATGAGTACACCACCAAAGCCAGGTACAGATCTTTTGTAAGAGTACTCGAAACAACTGCAAATATGGGTATTTTATTTTATCATTATGACCTCATTTTTCTATTCAAAGACACTAATTATAAGCTCACTTTGCCTTTCATATTTCCAGACTCTTCAGCTAATCTCAGACATTCAAAATTTAATAGGAAAACATTTAGATCTGAGACCTTTTATAAAAATGCCATATTACAGTATATACCTAAAGTCCTATCCTTAAATGTAAGGTATACTTACCAATGGTCAGGAAATCTGATCGATACTGACAAGTCATTCCAAAGCCAAAATCTCGCCAAAAGCCAGAATCCTTTTTGTGAACCTTAAGTTTAAAAAACAAAATTCAATTTAATCCCTCAAAAACTAGAAGTAGTTTCAATCAACAATGAAACAAATTAAAATATTTTCCAAATAATACTTTTTCCTGTCATTTATGTGATTGATAATGGATCAGATGCCTTTATATTATTAAATCCTTACAAAACCAACAAAAATACAGTAATCCCCATGAGCATAGGATTCTTGCTACTTCTTTTTTGTTGTTTTGTTTTGTTTTATGAATTTTATTTTACTTTTTTTATACAGCAGGTTCTTATTAGTTATCTATTTTATACAAATTAGTATGTGTATGTCAATCCTAATCTCCCAATTTATCCCACCACCACCACCCCACCCCCTACCCTGCTGTCCCCGCTTGGTGCCCATACTTTTGTTCTCTACTTTCAATTTAATTTGTTCAAGGCTTGTACAAGGTACAAGCTAAGGTTACTAATAATCAAAGAATTTGATGCCTGACCTCAGGGGGCTTACATTCTGTTTAAGGAGGACACCAGTTGCACAAGCACATACCGTAATACACTGATCACTTCTACACAGTAGACCTTATTTGGTGCCTGGCCAGCATCCATTCCCCTACCGCTTTCCTAACTGTGTAAAGTTTTGCTCTGGTAATTACCTGGCCCCATGCAGCCCGTGAGCTTCAGGGACGCTCCTTCCACTTGGCAGCGTCAGACTGGGCCATGAGCACGCTACGCCAGTGAGACGGTCTCACCCTACTCACTTAGGAACTGATTAGGCATTAGACAAAGTTCAGGTCAACATGCTAAAACAGGAGGGCTATTGGGAACTTTGGAAAACAAAGCCCCCTCATTCTTCTGAGAGCTACTAGAAAAGACATTTGCTCTCTTTGGATGGTGTAGGGCAGGAGTAAGCAACCACCACCTGGCTTTGCAAATAACTGTACTGGAACAAAGCCACACTCATTTGTTTACAAATTGTCTATGGGTATTTTTGTGGTACAATGGCAGAGTTATTAAATAGTTGGAACAGGGACTGTATGGTCTGCAAAACCTAAAATATTTTCTATGTGGCTCTTTACAGAATAAGTGTGTCAACCCCTGGTGTAGGGTATAGATGTGAAGTTTGGAACTGCAGCAGTCCTTTCCCACCATGAGGGAAACCAGCTTTAAAATGGAGCAGTCACCACTGAAGTCCAAGCAGAGAAAGAAAAAGAAAATCAGGGCTTTGATGACACTGCGCCTGCAGAATGAAGTAAAAGTTGAAGCTTGATAAACCTCCTTTTAAAATTCATACATTCAACAAGTGTTTAATCTGTTGGACTTGGTTTTGGGAGCTGGGACCCAGCAGGGAACAGAGGTGACAAAATCCCTGCTACCACAGAGCCTCCGTTTTGATGGGAAAATAACCAATAAGTAAATATAGGTCTCAGGTGGTGACACATGCTGGAAAGAAAGATGCCGTAGGCTAAACAAAGAGCAAGACAGAAAGCCTATTTTAGATATAATGGCCACAAAAGGCCTCTATGGGGAGGTAACGTTTGAGCAGGGACCCTACTGAAATCAGGGAGTGGGCTACGCAAATATGTGGAGATCATTCCAGAAGCATGTACAATGGCTCTGAGGGAGGAGCTCACTTGGAGTGTTTGACAAACAGTAAAGAAACAACTGTGGCAAGAGCTCAGAAAACAAGGGCAAGAAGAATGAGGCCCCAGGTCAAGAAACAGCTATTACATTTTCCAAACATAAGTGGTATTACAGTATTTTGTAGGCTTATGGCAATGATCTAGAAGAGGCAAAATGTTAGGATAGGAGAGAGTGAAGAATGGCTGAGGGGTGCCCTTGTTTAGGCATGAGGGATGAGCTCCATGCAGTTCACTACAAAAGGACGAGCTGGCCTTAGGAAGGAATGTGGCAGTTCCTCCACTGGGACTGGAGAGAGGCTGAGAATGTGATACAGAGCCAGTGAGGCCGATGGATCTCATGACAGGAGAATAAGGAAGTGAACATCCGACTGCTTCTCTTTTCTAAATGAAACAGATATGTGGAGAGTGAGGAGTGGTGAGGGCTGCTGGGAGGCGTGAGAAGGATAGTGTGGCGGGCTTGGAGGACAAAGAGTGGGTGGACTAGGGTAAGGCACAGGATTTCCCGGCAGTCTGGGACTCCTGAGGCCTGTGGTCATGTTTAAAGCTATGCTGTGTAGTGGGACTCTGTGTCTCTCACTCTCCACATTCTGCTGCTCTGGGGCCTGGTTGACAGAGTTGCCCTTAACCAGGTTAGGGTTCTAAGAGAAAACACTGGAAGGAGTGAGGGATGAAGGAGGTGAGCGTATGGCAAAAAAGAGGTTGTGGATAACAGCTGACCATGGAGTCTGAGTTGGGTAAGGAGGGAAATGAGGATAGGATATGGATGTGAGGAGGGTGACAGAGAGGAGAGAGGCAGGCACCTCACCCAGGCTGCAGCATCCTGAAACAGCTTCCTCCAAGAAATGAAGTTAGAGCTGGGATCTGAGAGATAAGTAGGAGTTAGTCAAGTGAAAGATGTGCTGGGAGAAAGTTCCAGGCAAAGGAACGGTTTACGCAAAGGCCTGTGATGGAAGAGAGCACTGTGGGTGAAAGATGGTGGGACTAAACACTGGGGTCAGAAGTAGAGGTGCCCATAAATGTGGAGCAGGGCTCAGGAAACTTTTATAGAGAACTGGACAGTAAATATTTTAGGCTCTGCAGAACATAGAATCTCTGTCTCAACTACTCAACTCTGTCACTGTAGTGTGAAAGCAGTCACTAACAATTAAATAATCAAATGAACACGTTGTGTTCCAAAAAACTTTAAGGCCACTGAAATTTGAATTTCATATAATTTTCATGTGCCATGAAATATTATCCTTTTAAAAATACTTTTCAACCATTCTTAACTCATGGGCCATTCAAAACTAGGCAGCAGGCCAGATCTGGCCTGCAGGCCACAGACTGCTGACCCCTGGCCTAGAGGGATCAGCAGGGCCACATCAGAGAGAACTATGTGTGCCTGGTCACATGGTTTGGGCTTTATTCTAATGGTAATGGGGGTTCTCTGAAGAGTAGGAGCAAAAGGAGTAATGTGGTCAGATGATGTTTTTGGAAGATCATTCTGGATGATAAGGGAGAAGAGATAAGGAGAGAGAAGAGGTAAGAAGGCAAGAATGGAGGCAGTGAGGCTGGTTAAGAGGCAACAGTTATAATCTGGGGATAAGAGGCTGGTGGTATAGACTGTCATGGTATGTCCAGAAAGAAAAAAAATTTGATGGATGTAGAAAAGATTTAGGACACAGAATTGACAGAAGTCAGCAAGTGACTCAATGGGCAGGAGCAGGGGATGAGACGGAAGGATCATCCAAGGATGACAGCAGACTGTTGTCCTGACAATGGGTATGTGACGGTACCTCCCCCACAAGAGCAGGCAGGAACACGGGGCTGGGGGCAGGGGAGGACCAGCCCAGAGATGGATGATATGGAGCTAGGTTCTGCACACAATGAATTTCAGTGATCTGTAGGGCAACCACAGACTGGAAGTTCTTGCAGATAGCAGGAATATAGGAATATACAGGTCTGTAGAGGAGGCAGCTTTTGAGAAGAGTGGGACAGTCTGAAAAAGCTGCTGTGCAGAATGGGAGAACCACTCCGGAAAACAGAATGAACCAGGCAGTACTGAGGACTTGGCTCAAGTAGGAGCTAATAAATAAAATACAAATTTTCCTTTAAAATTTGGCGGGGGGCGGAAGGCTTCTTCCTGAGGGCAGGACTTTTTGTTAATTTTGCTCGCTATTAATTTTGCTCACTGCTATATCCCTATACCTAGAACAATGCAAGGCACAGGATAGGCTTTCAATAAATACTTGTTAAATGAATAAATAAATTTATAGAGGCATAAGTTTTGTGGCAAAACCAAGATTGGGCTCTAATATTCTTATCTCCTTTGTCAAAAAATATATAATATATATAATCCTGGTGCAAAGTATTAAAACATCCACTCTGACATTTCTACCCCAGGTCAATTCTGATTTTATAAATATTATGACTTCATTTATAACTTTAGTTTCTTTAAAAATTCTTCAAATATTATCAGACTTGGGGAAAAGAGTCATTGGTTTTGTTAGATTTTTAAATCAGCACATTTTCACTGAGGAAAAGTAGAAGGAAACTCATATTGTCTACAACCCCTGACTGTTAATATTTTTTTACATTTTATTCTTTCTCCTAAGCATGTGGGAGATGCAGCTATCCACACATAACCTACATCTCCAGCCCTCAGCTGCTCACAGACGGCAGGTTCATGAATCCCCCTGGCAACTTGGCATTTTCCCTTGGACGTCTGATAACCAACACACACCTACCATGCTCAAATTGAAGTCCTGATCTCTCCTCTTGCCACACCTGTCTTTCCCTCACTCCCCACATCTAATCCACCAGCAAGCTCTGTCAGTTCTGTCTCTAAATCATAGCCAAACCTTTCTCCACAATCACCATCCTCACCCAAGCCACAGCACCGCCCCTGGTCTACTGCAAAAGCCTAACTGGCTACATTCTCCAAAGAACCAAAACTCCCAAGGCTTTCTCTCACACTTACATAAAATTCAAACCCCTTACAGGGGTATAGCAAGCTCTACACGACCTGGCCCACCTCTGTGCCCGCTTGCTCCCTGTGCTCCAGCCACCTTAGAAAATCTACTAGCTGTCTTTCTGCCTGGCACTGCCTTCCCCAGTCACTGTGTAGCAGGTTCCCTCCTTTCATTCGGAAGCCCCTCCAACAGCCCGATCTCAGAGAGGCCTTTCTGACCCAACGCAACACAGATACCACCTAATCACTCTTCACAACGCAGCCTGTTTTAATGATCTGCATGGTATTTGTTAATTGATTTTATTGTCTGTCTTTTCCTACCAGACTAAAGATTCTTGCGAACAACAATCACATCTGTACGGTTCTACGTGCTGGGGTTACAGTGGTGAATAATGGCTGGCACAGAATGGACATTCACTATTTGATGAAC